TTCAGTTTTTATAGGCGAAAAACACCTAAAAAACGGCGAAAAATAGAGATTTTTGCAGATAGACCACTTTTGTCTTGGAGAAAGGGGGGTCTGGGGGGGCGGAGCCCCACAACCTCGACAAGTTAAAAAGTCACAAGGGTCAAGATCGTGTTATCTGTAGATAAAACGACTCTATTTAGAATGTAGGGGGGTCTGGGGGGCTCCGCCCCCCAGCATTCAACAAGTTAAAAAATAACCGACAACGGACAAGCCATTGCCCGCCGCAGGCAGGCTAGCGCCGCAGGCCAAGGTAGGTACGCCAGGCGTGGATTGGAGGAACAGGCAGCGAGACATCGCGAAGCCTGTTACGACAAGACGCGGTCTGGCGTAAACCTACCTTGTGGTAATGGTGCGGGTAGGCAACCCGATGCAACCGACGCTCCGGCGCGCAGCGGGTGGCCTACCCTCGACTCGACGGGCGCACTGATGGTGCAGTGGGTCTGCACAGTGCTGCCACCAAAGTAGGCCAACATTCCTACGATGCCTCAGTGTCGAAAGGGTTGCCGTTCTCAGCCTATAGTTCAAGTTAGGGGTTCCAACTCGCAGGCATGAATTGGCTTTTAGGTCGGTGGCGCGGTCGGTAAAAAGGGAGAGCACTACGTTGCACAGTGGGCCAGAAGACCGGCGGAGGCGGCCGAAACTCCAGACGCGTTTTGAGCTCCAGAGTCGCTAGACAAGCCTCGATCCGAGCGTGTGACCCCACCAATGGATTCCTCGTTCGGAGAGCGATCCATTGGTGGGGTCACACGTTCGGCCTGAGTCTCATTTAGCGACTCTGGAGCTCAAAACGCGTCTGGAGTTTTGGCCGCCTCCACCGGTCTTCTGGTCCACTGTGCGTTGGCGTCTTCAGGGCCTCCTCTGACAGGCTTGTAGCGTGTCGGCGGCGGCCAGGTCGTTGCCGTGCGGACTGTCATCCCGCCACCGCACTGTGGGCCAGAATAAGACTGGCGTAGGTGGCCAATACACTAGACGCGTTTGGAGCTCCAGAGTCACTAAACAGGGCTCGAACCGAATGTGTGACCCCACCAATGGATAGCTCTCCGAACGAGGAATCCATTGGTGGGGTCACACGTTCGGTTCGAGTCCCATTTAGCGACTCTGAAGCTCAAAACGCGTCCGGGATTTTGACCGCCTCCACCGGTCTTCTGGCCAACTGAGGATCTCAGCGGTCCGTGCTCACGACGTGCATTGCCGTTTCGCCGCTTTTGGCACGGGCTGTCGTGGCTCGCGGCTCGCTGCTCGCGGTTCGCGCCCATCACCTCCGACAGGGCCTCCGCCGCGGCCTCGCCGCCTCCGCGCCGCTGGAATGTCTTATTATCTCCACACACCCTACTCGGGCGGAAATGGAGTGGAAGGGCCTGTAAGTGTCCCGCTAATGCCCCACCGCGACAAAATAAAACGAATAAAATTTTTGGCAACAATCTTCCCTATCGATTGTACTTTATCGAGCTTAAAGCGGCCAGATAGGAGGCTGCCGCGCGCTGCCGCGCCGCGGGCGGCCCGGGTCTGGCGGAGCCTGGCGGAGCGAGCGAGAGGGGCCAGAGTGGCGATGCAAATGCCCTGGAATAAAAAGAGATAACGAGTTTTTGGTAATTTAAGTGCTGTGGAGTGGAAGGTGTCATGGGGGCGCGGCCTCCGGAGGCGAGGCGGGCGAGCAAGGCGCTGGCAAGTCCATGGACGGCACCGCACCCGCCCCCGCCCCCCGCCCCGCGTCACTTTATTTCTCAATTTCTGGCGAAGGTGGCGACAGGGCGGTGAAAAGGCCGCCGTGCCGTCGATACTGGAGGCGCTGGAGGCACTGGAGGCACTGGAGGCACTGGAGGCACTGGAGGCACTGGAGGCACTGGAGGCACTGGAGGCGCTGGAGGCGGCCGTCGTCGTGTCGCCGCCCGGGACGCAGCCTGGCCCTCCGACCGCCGCCGCTGCAGACTGATTCCGAGAGTCGTTTTCGTCGCTCTGTCTCTCTCGCACCTATACGGGACGCCCCATGAGTGCGAGGGAGACAGGGTGACGAAAATGACTCTCGGAATCAGTCAGTCTGCTGACTGACGCGACGCAATTACAATTAAATTGGGAGCGCGACTTCCACGGTGCGGAGTGTGGAATGACGCGTGACGTCACGTGGCGGCAGCCTGCACGGCGGTGAGGTCCACCTGCCGATAGGCGTCGCGACTCGGTTCAACAAAAAAACGAAAAGTCTTTATATTTTTTTCAGTGTGAAGTTAACTGGGTGTGACTGGAGCTAGTGAAGCCTTTTCCACTGTAGGAGCCCAAGGCATGCAGAACCCGGGAACAGTTGCTCCAGTGTCCATGATAGATCAGGCGGGGAAGGCCACGCGGTGACAAGACCCATAGAGAACAGGCAGTCGAAGTAACGTTGAAACAGTGGTCATTTTGACATCATTTTAACGTCACTTTTTAAGTGACATTTTAACGTCATTTTGACGCCATTTGGCATGACCAGGCAGGACCGCGCAGGCGGGCAAAACTCTAGACGCGTTTCGAGCTCCAGAGTCGCTAAATGGGGCTCTAACCGAACATGTGACCCCACCAATGGATTCCTCGTTCGCAGAGCAATCCATTGGTGGGGTCACACGTTCGGTTCGCGTCCCATTTAGCGACTCTGGAGCTCTCCTTGGACTCCGCTCAGAGCAGTGAGCTCATCGCTTCGTCGACACTCGACACAACTCTCGCGTGCGAGCGCGGCCTCCTGGAAGGCGTGCGCTTGGTGCGCGTGCAGTGTGCCAGTCGATTCCGCCCAGTTGCTTCCGAACAAAGAGGGCAGCGCGGACACCCCCGGCCCGGGCCAGCCCGGCCCTCAGGCACAGCCCTCAGGCCCACCGCGGCTTCCCTTAAAATCACACGCCACTCTGACCACAACACTGGCAACCCTTCGCCGCGCCGCCGGGCCGGGCCGCCGCTCGCCGGCCGGGAAGGGTCGGAAAGGGCCTTCCACCCCCGCACTTCGGCCGCGCTCGGGCGCAGCTAGGGCCGCTCGGCCCCCTCGCCGCCCTCGCCTCCCAGCTGAGCAATCGATGTCCTTCCCCCACCGCGAGCCTGTTGAGCGGGTTGCCTAACCCGCGGCCGCCGGGCGCTGTTGCTCGGCGGGATGCCTACCTTCGGGCCTTCAGGGGCCACGGCCCCGGCCAGGGCCCGGTCTCGCGGCAGCGCGGAGCCGCGGGGGGCAATGCCGCGCCGGTTGCGGTGCATGCGGCGTCAGGGGCAAGCCGGCAAGGCAGGGTCGCCGTGCTACAGTGTGCCAGAAGACTGGCGCAGGCGGCCAAAACTCTAGGGTTTGAGCTCCAGAGTCGCTAAAGAGCACTCTAGCTGAGCATGTGGCCCACCAATGGATTCCTCTTTCGGAGAGCAATCCATTGGTGGGGTCACACGTTCGGTTGTCCCATTCAGCGACTCTAGAGCTCAAAACGCGTCCGGGATTTTGACCGCCTCCACCGGTTTTATGGCACACTGTGCGCCGCCGCGACTCTCGCTGCGCTGCAGCAGACTGATTCCAAAAGTGGTTTCAGTCGCTCTGTCTCTCTCGCACTCATGGGGCGCCCTAGGTGCGGGAGAGATAGAGTGACTCTTGGAATCAATGCGCGGGCTGCCTCACAGTATTTAACATCTAAAGATATATTTTCATTTCTCTTTTCTTCGAGGGCAATGGTGGGAAAGGCGTGGACAGCGGTTCGAGTAATTGTTTACGGTGTCGGACCAGGATTATCTCGTCCTCCCCTCCCGGCCCATTGCCGGCGGCGTGCGGCGCGCGTCGCGCGGGGTGGCCAACCCAACCACCCGCATTGCCGCGCATTGCCGCTTTGGGAATGTCTTAATCGTCCCGCGGGGCCTGCACTGTAGACTCAGTGACGCGCCAATTAGCAGCCCTCGCTCTCTCTCTCTCTGTCTCTCTCTCTGTCTCTCTCTCTCTCTCTCTCTCTCTCTCTCTCTCTCTCTCTCTCTCTCTCTCTCCTCGCAACCGTAGGGAGAGCCCGCGGTGCGAAGAGAGACAGAGTTAATTGCGTGACAGGCAGTCGCAGTGGTGCCAACAGATGCCCATTGAAAACGAAAGGGCCGTCAGCCTCAGCCGGCCTTGCCGGTTCATGTTCCAGGTGCCGAGGAGCGATGGGGGTCAAGCGGGCGGGACAGGCAGACAGACAGACAGTCAGAACAGGCGGACAGACAGTCAGACAGGCGGACAGACAGTCAGACAGGAGGACAGACAGTCAGACAGACGGCGGACAGACAGTCAGAGGCGGACAGACAGTCAGACAGGCGGACAGACAGACAGTCAGACAGGCGGACAGACAGGCGGGCAGACAGGCGGGTAGACAGGCGGGCAGACAGGCGGGACAGGCGGGCAGACAAGGCGTGCACGGCACGTGGCGCGGATGGGGGGAGAGGGAGAGAGAAATTGCGAAGCTTTGCAAGTGAGGTGGTTGCCTACATTCATTCGGCCAGGGTGCCAGCAAGGGTGCCGGCCGGCAGGCGGCAGGGGATGGGGGGAGTCGCAGCGGGGACTCAGTGCAGCGATTCGACGCAGATCAGATTCCGGCAGTGTTGTAGTCGTCCGCCGACGCCACCGGAAGAGTGCGGGGTGTCATCAAAGTCGCCCGGAGCATCACGGCGCTGCAGCCGGAAGCGGAACCTCCTTTGTGTGACAGTGCGCCCGCCCCGCCCCGCCCCGCCTCGGCGCCGGGCCGGGGGGTGGCTTGGCTCGGGCGCGGGCGCGCCGGGTGGCGTTAGGCTTGAGCTTGCCCACGCAGCCCGGCGAGCCCAGGCTAGCCCAGGCGAGCCAGGCCCCAGTATCGATCCGCGCGCATGCGCGGGGGGCGTGCCGGTCTTCGGCCACTACCGCCACCAGGCCAGCAGGCAGTATGGCGGCGGCGGACGGCCACCCCAGGTGAGCGTCCTGCAAGTCCTGTGACGTTGCGACGGCGTCCGGGGCCGCCCTTGGGGCCTTGCAGTGAATGCGACGCCGAACGTCCCGTGAAAGTCCCCCGGAGAGCTCCGCGGCACCAGGTCGAGATCGCGAAGGCGTCGTCGTCCGGGACAGCGCCGGACGTGGGCGACAGCACCGTCCCCACCACCACGACCGCCGCTGCGACCCGCACCGCCTGCAACATGAACGCCGTCTTAACCATAGGGCCTGCGTACATGCCCAACGCGCCACCAATCCAGGTGCCGCCAGCTCACTTCATCAACAACCACGACTGGACGTGAGTATGAGGTCCCGGGCAGTGTCAGCCCCCTGTCAGCTCCCTGTCAGCTCCCTGTCAGCCCCGTGTCAGCGCTGTGTCAGCCCCCGGAAGTGGCTCAGGAAGGCCCAGTGCCCGTGAGACAGGCAGTAGGCCGGTCTGCGGCAGTCTGAGGGCGATCCGCTCGCAGCTGCATGCTGTCAGTGCAGCCAGACTCACGGTCCCCGCCGTCCCCACCCCGTGACCTACTTCTGGCCGTCAAGAGAGTGAACGCCACATCACAGCATCCCGCCGCATCCCGTGCTACTCGTCCTGTCCATCGAGTACCCCGCCCGGCCCGGCCCTCCCTCCCCGCCCCCGTCGGGGTCCCGGGCCGCCACGCTGGGGCCTTCGTCGCCATGGCGACGGGCTCATGGAGCCACCCCCCGGAACGCGCCCCGCGGAGGGCCCTGCGCGTGGCGTAGCGTGGCGGCCGAGGCCGGGCCCTGGCGAGCCGCGCACGTCGGCGCCGTGGCCGGGGCGCGGGGGGCGTGGGGCGGCTCAGCTGACAACAACAAGCACATGGACCCCCGGCGCGGGGACGAGCACGGGGACGAGACGGCCGAGACGCACAACTGCGCAGTACCAGCGAGGGGTGGGGGAGCCAGAGCCAGACAGTCTGCGCAGTTTGCGAACTAGCCAGAGAGTTCCAGACGCGCGGCGTCACCATCATCTCAGTGCTGGACATAAACTTTTCACCTGCCGTGAAGGCAAACCGCTGGTCAAATCGATCAAAGTAAACTGGAATGCTACATCATCAGATACTAGGCACTTGCCCTCGACAGAGCAGTTTTCAAAACACTGTTCTCTTGGAGCTCTTTCAAACTCGCCCAGTGCTCAATCTTGCTGGGGTTGTAGATGCTTTTCCGCGAAGTGAGTCAGCCAATTATTCCGTGAACGCTGACACCGTGTCTGCCGATCTTATTCCAGTGCAAGTGAGCACTTCGCGCTGGAGTGCCTCACCCTTTCGGTCGATTATTCGAACTCTAGACTAAACCTGTTGCATTTGGTACTTCCTTTTTACTCCATTTTTCTCATTATTCGAGATAAGTGACTCACTCCCGCCACTTTCAGTTTTAAATCGAAAAATCTAACTAGATTTCGTTGGCAGAGTATTAATGCGGTGAAACTTTGTTTACAATGCACTTCTCAGCTGATATGGTCGTGACGTCACGCTCCACCCCTCGGCCGTTGACCTCCCCTCCTCCATCCCTCCCTTTCTTCTTTCCTCACCCTTCCCCTCCCCTCCTCCATCCCTCCCTCCCTTCTTTCCCCGCCCTTCCCCTTCCCTCCCCACCCTTCCCTTCGCCTCCCTCCCTTCTTCCTCCTCCTCCCCTTCCTTCCCTCCCTTCTTCCTCCCCCTTCCCCTTCCCTCCTTCCCTCTTCCCTCCCTTCTCCCTCCCCCTTCCCTTCCCCTCCCTCCCCTATCCCACCGCCCTTCCCCCTCTCCCCCTTCCTCCCTCCCCCCGCCTCGTTTTCGACATCCCTCAGCCCCACCCCACCCCCATGCCCGTCCAAAATAAATTAATGCTCTTTTACCTGCACGGGGCGATGGAAGATAATGCCGACCGCGGAATAATAAAACACAAGAGGGAAGGAGTGTGACTAAGACTAGTCACCAAAATTTTAAAAACAAAAAAGTTAAAGTCAAACAAATCTTAAATTTTCTGACACTAGTGCAATGCAGTTGTATTCTCTCGGTCCTCGCTGTGGTCGAAAGCTATACACGAGAGGTGGGAACAACGTGCAACGAGTTGCCACATGAGTGGGAAAAATTCCCACGATGCACCAGAACTGAAAGAATCGCGAACAGAGAGAGCCTCCTTTCTGGGCAAATTCTCGAGAGCAATAACCAGATATTAGTTGAAAAGCAGAGCAGGTTGAATTGCAACCCATTCTACAGTATCGTGTGAATTTTTGCCTTCTTATGAGGGAACACTGAACTGAACGTGTTGAGATCAAGAACATGCCCGGCCGCGGGTACCATGCGGGCTGCCACCGGGAGGCCTCTCTCAGGGGGCAATCGAGTCACTCAGAACGGGGTACGGCTATCGAGGTGGGGAAATCGTTCCATCAAATCCTGTAGTTTTTTTTGTTGGAGGGGTAGGGATCCTCACTGTGAGAGATGGGACAGAGCTGACGTCACAGGTCCTCTGGTGTAAATGGGCGAGAAGCTCCCCTTCAAGAGGCTAGCACTCCGGCTGGGGGCCATAAACAATTCGTCTGCGGATACCTGAGTTGGGGGTACTCCTAGTCTCGCACATGGCAGATCTGGTCGGCGTCGGGCCCATTTACACACACCCGAGGTCTGTGATTGGCTGGATGCCGCCAGCCTGACCCATCTCTCACGGAGAGGGTCCCTAGTTAGGGGGAGGGGATTGGGCTTTAAAAACAGCCTTGTTGTGTTCGACTTTGGTCGCGATGTTCTCAAGTGAGTCTTTGTAAATTCGAAATGATTTTTTGACACTACTTAGGTACCCAATTATTGACAAACAAGAAAATCCAGACAGTGCTAACAAAAGTTGTCCGAGTCACAACAAGTTTCGTTTTGAATCGGCCATTACAGCAGCGCCACATCAGGGCATGAGAAATTCGCAATGCTGCAAGTTATGTTTTTCATACATCGTTGTGGCGCAGATGAAGCAGATGACGATTCGAAAAGAAATAATGGACAACTAACTTTAGATAGAGATGTTTGGGTTTTCCTGTTCGTTGAAATGTCTGCCATGCCGTGGGAGATCCAACATCAGTCAGGGAGTTAATGCTAACGAAGAAGTGTCCGGGACAATTCACGAGAACGTGTTGAATACGATCAGGTCAGTGAAAAGGACCAAGGGGAATGGGTTCTTGTACGTGGTTGGAAAGGTCTTTGCAAACCAATTGTCACTCATCGACCCAAAATAAAATACTAACAACCCTATGAGAAATCCGGCACCATCGAATGGGGTGCTGCTGTGGGGTACAGCGATATGTTGTGGGTCCGACCATACTCGCCCATCGGCCAGCATGTCGCGGTGGCGACCCGAGCGCAGGCAGGCTTGACGGCGACAATCTGAGCATGCACCCTGTCGCGGAGTCAACACCCATCCGCGTGGCCGCTGGGCTGGGTTCAGTCGGACTCACAACACAGCAGTTGTGCCCCTACAACAGGTGAATTGGCGTAAATTACCCCACTCTCATTTGCATATCTCTCTCTCTCCCTCTCTCTCTCTCTCTCTCTCTCTCCACACACACACACACACACACACACACACACACACACACACACACACACACATCCATCACTCACTCAGCAAAAGCACGCACCTCAGGCGCGAGTCGGCAGCCGGCTTGGAAGTGGATGGGTGGGGGCCACTTTGCATCCGTTTTCAAAAGTCATCCCCACTTTTCGTAATCTCGTTACTGAAATAGGGAGTTTAAAATCGAGGCCGGCCGGGAGGCCGGGGTTAATGACGTGGAGCTTAGGTAGCGGGGCGGGGCGGGGCGGGGCGGGGCGGGGTGGAAATCGGTTTACCATGAAATCAGTCAGGAGCTGAAACACTGGCACCCCCTCCACCCTTTCTGCGCTGTAATGTCTTCTCCGATATGCCAGGCGAGGCAGGCCGGGCCGTGCCAGGCGGGGCCGCGTGGGCATCTCCTCCCCGCCGAGTGAGGCATCCGCGTCGCATCCACGTCGCATCCACGTCGCGCCATCGTTTCCACATTTGTGGACGCGACTCACTCACCTCGCCGAGCAGTGCACTGCCAAACATTTTTGTAAACAATCGGGTGGAAGGGTTCTGGAACGAGTGGCCGGCCAAAGCGGCGTCAAAGGTCAAAGCACAGTGGCGGTGGCCGACTGTCCGGAAAGGAGAACACTCCAGACCATTCTTTAGCTCGAGCAGTTTGCTTCGTCGACTCGTCTTTTTTATTTACCTGCATCCCCCCCCCTCCCTTCCCAATCCCCCGTCGCCCGCGCCCACGCTGCTGCGGCATGCTTACCTTGCCAGCCCTGTTCCCCCCCCGGCCCCCCCGGCCCCCCCCCGCCCCGCCCCGCCCCGCCCCGCCCCGCGGCCCGCAAGACGGAACACACGACGCCCTTAAATGCCCTGTCCTGAAATATAGCCACGTCATAACAGAATAACATGTGTGCCAAATGTACATTTGAAGGCCCGGGCATGAGGGATGACGCCCCCGCCGCGCCAGAGGGCCTCCCTGCAGGCCCTGCACGCCCTGCCCCTGCAGGCCGAGGCCCACGCCGAGAACCCGCAACATGCCGCCATCACCGACATGCCCTCCTCGGCGTGCCCCGGGACGCGCTGCCCCGCCCGCCCCGCCGCCAAGTCGCTGGCCAATGCCAGGCCGTCCAGGGCCCAGCTCGGGGCCCAGCGGGGCGAGGGGCTAACCGAAGGGAGAACGCTGCATTCCTTCGCCCGTTTGCGGTCAGTCAAGTAAAACATAAAGTAGATAGTGAAGTAAAAGTAAATAACACGGTAAAAACGGTTCCTAGTTTTCCCAGGAACTCCCTGGAAATCGCCTATGCCTTCCCCATTGGCTTCCTGAAAACCAGGTTCCGTTTTCACCGTGAAAGTAAAACGTAAATTAAGTAAATGGTACATAAAACAAAAAGTAAATAAAGTAAGAAGTAGTAAAAAGTAAATAAGTCGCTACAGTAAAACGGCGCGGAAATGCACGAGTGCACCTAAGCGCGCGCTTCCGCCGAGCGTTCAGCTCTCCGCCAACCCCTAGGCCGGAACCCGGAAAGGGGGGGGGGGGCACTCGCGCCATAGTGGGGTCACGGCTGTCCGTAGCACGCGTAATAGTAGTACAGTGGTAGCTCAAATTTTCCAAATTTTACCTAGTTTTGGGTTGTTTCGAGCTGTTTTTAGCCATTTTGAGGCTTCATAGAGCTTAATAGAGCGTAATAGGCCTAAATGTAGGGTCACAGGTTTTGATAGCTGTTTATATAGCTAGTGCGTACACTGGCAAAACAAAGGCATAAAAATTACGCCCTTAAGGGCATAAATACTCTTTTACGCCCTTGCAAGGGCATAAATCGTTTATGCCCTTGGGAAGGGCGTAAATGGAATAGGAATTTCAAGCAAAGTTTTAATGCCCTTCCCAAAGGCATTAACGATTTATGCCCTTTAAGGTTACTGTAAGGTGAAACAACTATCTTCCAAAGTATAGGTGGCAGTGCTTCGGTTTTTGGTGATTTAGTTGCTTACTATGAAAAACTTTTACAGCCACAAGACTGGACTCTCAACTCCCATTAGTTCCAAAGTTATGAGGGTTTTAGTGTTATTTTAGTCGTTTACTAAAAATTCTCCTTGCGATGAACCAAAAAGTTTACGGAGAGGTGACTTTTTATTTTAAGGCTTAATGGACATGCAAACAGACTAGCAAAGCCGGATTTGACAATATATGCATAGATAAGCTGTAATTTCTGTTTGGAAAATGCGTTTTGAATTTTTTACTTAAATTTGGTAAAATTTTGGTATTTTTTGGTGTTTTTTTGAGTTTTTTGAGAAAAATTCCTGTTTCATGTTCGAATTTTGGAAATCCGGCTTTGCTACGAGATAGGCAAATCAATAAAGAACTTGTAAAACAAAAATCAAGTCTCGACAACTTTTGGTTCATCGCAAGGAGAATTTTTAGTAAACGACTAAATTTGTTACGTAAACTGCAATAACACAGAAAATAATGGGAGTTGAGTGCCTCAACTTTGGGTTTAAGTTCATCTTATAGTAAGCAACCTGAAACCTAAATGCAAACATGATGCCACAATTATTTTGGAAAATGATATTTCACATTTTTTCACTTTACAGTAACCTTAAGGGCGTAAATCGTTTACGCCCTTAAAGGGCATAATTTTAATGCCTTTGTTTCACCAGTGTACCCCCTTGCGGAAGACTCGTTCGCCGGATGTGGCCATGCGCGCGATTGGAGTGCCAGTCCCCAATGGACCCGGAATCAATCAACTAATGGCTCTCGTTTGAAAGGAGATCCATTGGTACAGTGCTACACTGGGTTGGTACGAGTAGCGTGCCATCCGGCTCGGGTACAAAAGGGGGAAGGGTTTTTTTGCCCCTTCCTTGGTGGCACCTGGGAAGTCATCCGAAACAAAATCCGTACTGTAAATAGGCGAAAAGTCGAGCAAAAAGTGCTGCTTTGCCTCCTCCGGCGAAGGCACCATTTGGATCCACCGCTGCGTGCCACCGCGCCAAGCTCAGAACGCAACGAGTGCTGTATCGCTGTGTCCGTTCACCCAAGCAGGTATTCCAGCCATGCATCCAGCCCATCCCACAGTGGGCCAGGAGACCCGTATAGGCGGCCAAAATTCCGGACGCGTTTTGAGCTGCAGAGTCGCTAAATGGGACTCGAATGAACGTGTGACCCTACCAATGGATTGCTCTCCGAACGAGGAATCCATTGGTGAGGTCACACGTTCGCTTCGAGTCCTTTTTAGTGACTCTGGAGCTCAAAACGCGTCTAGAGTTTTGGACGCTGGCGCCGGTCCTCTGATCCACTGTGCATCCCACGGCCAACCCTTTCCGGAGTGATGACGCGCAGGTGATAAGCTGGTCCTTGCAGTCCTTGTCACCGCCAGGCCCTCGGCCAGCCGGGCAGGCAGGCAGGCAGGCAGGCAGGCAGGCAGGCCGGCAGGCCGGCAGGCAGGCAGGACTCGAACGGGATCACCGCACGGAGTGATAAGGGAGGCTGCAACCCTTTCCGGAAGGCTCTCGAACACGCCTTTCATTGCCAAGTCCGTCCGTCTACCCCTGCCAGCTCGTCTGCCCGTCTGTCTGTCTGTCCGCCCGTCTGTCCGCCCGTCTGTCCGTCCTTGTCGCTGCACCAGACTCCATTAGTCTCCACATTCAATTACCAACCTGAATGCAGGCGAACTCGGGGCCAATATCAGCCGCCTCCAGAGTTAGCTTGGCGTAGAACGGCCGGGGCGAGGGGGGGGGGGGAAGGGGGGGGGGGGGGGGGATGTAGAACCGTCCTCCCAGGACAGGGCGCCGACTCTTATCCTGATGTCTCCTTGATGAATTTCAGGGGGAAGGGAGGTGGAGGGATGCAACCCTGCCATGCAGACCGGCCTGTCCTTTTTCGTGAAGCAGGAGAGGCGCAAGTGTAGCTGCTTCCTTCAAGACAAAGAGCTCTCTCTCTCTCTCTCTCTCTCTCTCTCTCTCTCTCTCTCTCTCTCTCTCTCTCTGTGGGCCAGCAGTCATGTTCCCGGTCAAGCAGCAGGGGAATACTCATTAGCGGTCGGACGGTTGACTGGTTCTCGTTAGAGCGACGAATAAAGTTAACCAGGCGGCCGTCTCCGAGGCACGCAGTACCCCGAAGCAGGGAAGCGCGAAAAAAGAGGGGGGGGGGCAATTTTAGAGATTGCGTCCGATGAGCCCCGAGCTGCGGCGTCATTGGTGTGCCGTGTCCGTAGCGACACGATCGACGAACGTGTTTCTCAAAGCAAATTGTGTTTGTCGAAAAGTCCGGCCGTCATCAAGAACCTATAAAGCCTATATAAGCAAACTATCGCGGCGCAAATACTACGACGCAATTCGCAGTGGCGTGCCCCCTCCCCCTCCTCCCCATACTCCCTGGTCCAAGGGGATGCCCGACCGGTGCTGCCCCCTGGCGGCCGCCGGGAGGGGCGGCGTGAGGGGCGGCGCCGCGCGGTTCGCGCCCGCCCCGCTAGATGGCGGCACCGGTGGCGGCGCTGCGGGAGCGCGCGCCCCCCCCTCCCCCTCCCCCTCCCCCCTCGCGGGGCCCGGAGCAGCCCGGAGCAGCCCGGAGCCGCTGGGAAAGAGTGGAGGAGGGCCAATTGAAAGGCCCCTCGTGGAAACACTTGTCGTGTCGCATCCGGAAAGGCTCGACATTACGTTGCCACACCTCGACCGCGGTGATCACGACGGAACTGAAGGGCATTCCCTGCCTTCGCGCAGTCTCACGTGGGGCGAAATGTCGGGGAACCGATTTCGCAGTGTTGGACAAGCATCGCGACGCAAGACTGTATGGCATTCATCAAGTGCAGATTCTTGAAAAACGCACAAAAAATGTTGGTCCAGCAAAGTCGTCGGTTGGGGCACTTTGCTGACACCACTCAGAGACCGTTCTGCAAACTTAGTAGGACGTTTGTCGCAAAATCATGGGTTTAGTCGATCGGGTATATTTGCGAAAACGCGCACCTGTCCGGGAAAACGGGAAGAGTACGTACCCGGTGAGGTGCTGGATGACGCACTGGTCCTGAAGGTCCTGAAGGGAGAAGCCCCGCCGGCCGGGCTATCGCAATCGCCTGCCGGGTGGGCAAGCCCGCGGCACACGGGTGCGGGCGGGTTGCCTACCCAGCGCATGGCAGGCGGACGGGCACTGTCGTTACTCTTATAGGGCCCGTGCAATACGCGAAATATGGCGGAACGAAAGTATGGCAAATTCACGAACTGAGACCAGCAGACGACGCCAGCAGGAGCTTATAACTGGAGATATTTAAATATCCTGAGCATTTTCTCCCAGATCAGTGCTAAGGATTCGTTCTTTAGCACATAAGCAGTACTCCGTGAGGTTATTTATCACAAGATTCCTTCAAAGGGTCGAAAAATCGAGTTAAGTTAAGGTCCCAGCCTCCAACCCCGTTTGAACTGCCGCGGTTCTTGCCGTCAAGCGTAGTTTTAGAAACTATCTCTGGATGTATCTGGAGCACATTGAGTTAAAGAAAAAAACTTTCGGATTCCAGAAATGGTTTTGTTCTATTCGAGATGCAAAGTGTGTGCGAGATTCAGTCCATTTTCTTGGCATCGGCTGCTGTAGACTCAGTTCGCGAAAGAACGTTTTCGTGTCCTTTACCCGGCAGTGACATAACGGTACGCCATTGCACGGGCCCTATTGTGTATTCTATGTGAGAGCGGGGTGGGCAGAAATGATTTGGTCTCACCACTGTTTTATGTAAGCCATGCAGACCGCTTTGTAGGCGCCTTTTGGCTCCAGAGTAGCTAAGTGGGACTCGAACCGAACGAATGACCCCTATCCAATGGATTCCTCGTTCGGAGAGTAATCCATTGGTGGGGTCACTCGTTCGGTTCGAGTCCCATTTAGCGACTGCGGAGCTCAGAACGCGTCTAGAAGTTTAGCCGCCTCCACCGGTCTTCTGGCCCACCGTGCGTGGAAAGCAATGACTTTACGGACAGCCCCGGGTCGCGGGAGGGCACCGTCACTCCTCGTCTTTGGAATCGATTGCGCGACGGACACGCCGCGGACACGCCGCGGACACGCAGCGATGCACCGGGCAGTGTACGCGCCGAGCATCCCGACGAGCACCGCGGACATGAAACATTTAGCGGAAGCCAAGCAGCGTTGTAGACAGCCTGGCCGCGTGTCCCGCTCCGCCCGCTCGACGGATCTCGACGGACCAAAAACAAAAAAAAACAAAAACGTGTTGTCTAGTCCGGCGGGGCCCTCAGCGTCCGCGCCACGCCGCGCGCGAACAACAGCGATTTGCATATTAAAAATAAGTGAAAATAAACACAAAAACTTGAACGCGCTCCTATCGGAGTCCGACCCGGCGGCAGAGCACCTCAGCTTCAGCATAAGGCACGCTTTTATGGGCTTTAGTGTGAACCAACGAGCTTGAATGTTAAATTATTTTTCTATATTTTAAAAAAAATATTTTAGAAAAAAAATGCTTTTATTTTTTAGGTTTTGAACCACGGTCCCTGGGGTTGAGGCTAGACAAGCTTACGCCCACGGCCACGACGGTATCGTCCAAAACGATTGAACGTCTGTCTAATAAACGACCTGTCTCTTTCACAGTTATGAGGCAACACGTCAACGGTCACCGCCATGCGAGCGAGCTATCTACTTCCGAGAAAAGAGGTACCCGTTTGATTATAATTGGTTTCGATACTCTCGATCACCTGGCAAGAGATAAGCCAAAGTCCGACATTCTAAAATAGCCTTGCAATGAAAGATCATACGAAAGAAATCTGTGCTCACGAACGAATACTTTTTCTTGGTAACTTGTAACTTGTAACAGTACGAAGAGAAAGCCAGTGTATGTTTGCACAGATTTCGGCAGGCTCGACATAAGCTCCATCCTTCTTGAGCCCCGACGGCTTTCGGACCCAACCGAGTCCCAATCCGAACTCGGTTTGGCTCCCGGACTCCAGTTAAACAACTGGAGTCGGGGTTTAGTTGGGGCTCCAGGTTATCGAGGCCCAATCGGCATGAGGCTGATGCGTGTCACCGTGCTCGGACTTGCACGTGAGCGTTTTAGAGTGTAGCGGATGATGGCCCCGACGCACCGCGACGCACTCCCCGCTGTTGCAGGCGGAGGTGGCACCTGAAGCACACTGGGGCGATCGGGCCCACGCCAGCGCTGCCCACGCGCTACCTGGAGGCGGACGCCTGGTCCTTCCTGACACCGCCGGAGCTCACCGACGACCAGAGGTACGGAAAGAGACCGGCTCTGGACCAGAATACCGGCGCAGGTGGCCAAAACTCTAGACGCGTTTTGAGCTCCAGAGTCGCTAGATGGGACTCGAACCGAACGTGTGACCCCACCAATGGATTCCTCGTTCGGAGAGCAATCCATTGGTGGGGTCACACGTTCGATCCCAGTCCCATTTAGCGACTCTGGATCTCAAAATGCGTCGGGGATTTTGACCGCCTGCACCGGCCTTCTGATCCACTGTGCGGCGGCGGCTCAGGCCGGTTCGGGTGGAGGTGCGGGTCCGCTCGGGTCACTTTTCCATGCGCCTGACTCCAGGGAGACGTCGGACACCATGATCCAGCCCGTGGAGGTGGAGGACATGGGCCGCGGCGTGCGCTTCTTCAAGCGCGTGTCGCACGGCACGTCCTGCGCCCGCATGGACGGCGCCATCAACAACGGCATCTACTACTGGCAGCTGCACCTCGGCGACCGCATGTACGGCACCTCCATCATGGTGGGCATCGGCACGGCGGAGGTGCGCCACGCCAGCCACGCCTTCAAGAACCTCATTGGTGAGTACAGCACGCTCCCACGGGGCGCCCCGCGAGTGCGAGAGAGACAGAGCGACCCTCCGCACCGGGAACGGCCCACAGTGGGCCAGAAGACCGGTGGAGGTGGTCAAAATCCCGGACGCGTTTTGAGCTCCAGAGTCGCTAAATCGGGCTCAAACCGAACGTGTGGCCCCACCAATGGATTGCTCTCCGAACGAGGAATCCATAGGTGGGGTCACACGCTCGTTTCAAGTCTTACTAAGCGACTCTGGAGCTCGAAACGCGTGTGGGATTTTGACCGCCTCCACCGGTCTTCTGGCCCACCGTGCGACGACTTGAAGGGCTCGAAGCCAGCCAGCCAGCGCCCTGGACAGGCAAGCCGCAGCGCGCCGCGAGGTGTTTGGTGTTTTCAGAATGCACCGTCCGTCGGCGCGCCGCCGCGACGCCGCTTTGCATGATGCAGTGCAGACTGCAGGCCGACCCCGATGCGACATGTGAGGGGAGGGTGATGTTCGACCCGCTAACCAGCTAACCATCGATTATCGGCGTTTAGCTTGAGGCGTACTCCGAGTACCCTCCCTCCGTTCATTACTTTTCCTCGCCGTTTCCCTCCATTTCCCCCCATTTAAAAAAAAAGAAACTTGGAGTGAAGCGTGCGGCGTCGTCGCTCCCGGAGCTCGAGTTTCGGGATGCATGCCGACACTCTGAGGCACGAGCCACACTGCCTCCAAGGCTCCCGTTGCATAAGTAGTCGTAGTTGTCCCGACTCCATTATTTGCGTAACTCGTGCTCCTGCATATCCTAGTTCAGTCGAGGCTTCTGAATTTCTCATCCGCTGCTCGTGCATCAGGCGCCGCGACGATCCACTGGCCACTCCGGCCGGGGCGTGGCGGGGCGTGGCGGGGCGTGGCGGGGCGTGGCGGGGCGTGGCGGGCGGCGGGGCGGGGCGGGGTGGGGGCGGGCGGGGCGCGGTGGTCGGTCGGTCGGATAGCGCGGCGGATCATGGTGCCCTCATCCTGGAGCGCGGCGGGACGCGGCGCGACGGCGGGATTTTAAAATTCTTTTTAGAAAATGTGTATTGTGACATTCGACAAAGGCGGGAGGGAGGGAAAAAGCGATCGCAGCCCTGCCGGGCTGGCGCGCTGGCGGGCTGGCGAGCTGCGGGGCTCGGCCGGGAAAAGGGGAATCCGAAGAGGCAGCCGAGGGCTCGGGCTCGGCCGAGGGGGTGTGGGCCGGCGGGGGGCGGTGGGGGAATCCCTGCGAAACTCACCACGTGCGACTTGTGTTACGCCACGGAGAGAACAAATCCGGGGCCGGCGTGGCGGAGGGGAGGGGGGGAGGGGGAGGGGGCCGGAATGACGGCCACAGCCTTCCATTAAAAACAAGGCCAGGTTCGGAGGGCCGGCGAGCAGCCGCCTGCACTTCCAAGGCGTCGCCGGAGACGTTGTCGAGGACGTGGGACTCGAGGGGCGGCAGCGGGCGGCAGCGCGGCGGTACATGTCCGGGCCATTACAGTGGGGGGAACAAGTGTGGGGGCGGCGACGGGGAGGACGCACCGTGCACGGCCTGCAGCGCCTCCAACGACGTTCGTCCCGCTGGTCATCGCCACCTCCAGCGCGCCGAGGCGGGCCGAGGCGAACCAAGGCAACCATGCGGCGCCCTGGCCGCGCGCCGCCACGCCGCGCCACGCCGCGCCACGCCGCGCCCTAGCAGAGCCTCGGCCGCGCGTCTTGCGGGCGCTAACTATCCTGCAGCAAGCAAACTATTCAGGAATGTGGCCCGGCCTTTACTGCCTGGCTCGGCCCCGCCCGCCCCGCCCCGCCCTGCCCCGCCCCGCCCCGCCCCGCCCCTTAGACCTTCACCTCAACAGACCCGGAGCAGCTTCGTCTAATCTCACCGCAGCCAAATTATCACAAACTCCCAATCAAGTTGGGCGGCGAGTGGAGGCAGCGCCGCGGCACCGCGACCACGCCGTCGTCCGCGTTCCCGGCGAGCCGCCGCCAGCCTGCCTTCCGAGGTGCGGTGGCGGGCCCAGGGCCTCGACGGGTGGCGCGCGCCGCGCCGGGGTGGGGGCGGGGCGGGGCGGGGTGGGGGCGGCAGATGGGCCTCAGCTCCTAATTATGCTGGTCCACCTGTTGGCATGTGTTGCCTCTGAGACGCGGCGCCCCGACCCGCCCCGCCACGTTGTCGGCACCCTTTAAACGAGGGCGGGGCGGGGCGGGGTGGGGCGGGGCGGCACGACAGGGGAGCTTATTCACACTGTAGTGGCGCAGTCAAGTGCAGCGTCGGCTCTCATCCTCGTTTGCTCTTTTGTGCTGCTGCTGGCTGCCATCCTCTTGTTTGTGTTTTCTGTTTACGATTTCCACACCCTGTTTGTCTCTGGTTTGCACGCAAGCGCCTTCGGGTCTAACGTTTCTGTTTGGCGAGTTTGGTAGAAATTACTTGCAATTTCTGTAAACTGTCTTTCATCAAAGTCGTCATTTAGAGACATGCTTTCGTCATGTTTTAGAATGCTGTTCTTCGTCCAGGTCAGTACCTTTCCCTCTTTGGGTGTCTTTTTCAACCTTGTGTGGCGTCCTCTGGTGCAGCGGCGACCAAATCTACACCCCCTTCACCGATTGAAACTCTACGAATATTTGGTGGATTTTTTTTTCAGGGGTTGTCCCCGGCCAAGTCAAGAATCCCTTTGTTCTTGCACACCGCGTTATACGTCCCATCGTAACTCTAACCGTCCGAAAGGGAGGTATTTTATGTGGGCCGTGGACAGGAGGGCACTAACTTGGCGGCGGGGGTGGGCCTGGTGGGCCTGGCGGGCCGGGCGTTGCACGGCGCTGGCTGAGGCACGGACTCAGGCACGGAGTGCACAGCCTAAATGTTAGATCGATTTTTATCTCAGTGCGCTGAGGCCGCTAGGCCGCTAGGCCGCCAGCATGCTGCCGGGGCTCTGGGCCGGGTCGGGCCTCCCTGGGCTGCAGGTCGCCCCCTCGCAAAACAATTTGCATGAGTCAATGCGCCCGCCCCGGCCCCGCCCCGCCCCGCCGGTTTGAAGGAGGAAGGAGAAAAAAGAAAGGCAACTAATAGGCGTGGGTGTGCGGAAGGATTTTGGTGCATTCTAGAAGCCCTGATGCGAAATTCCGATCATCGCAGGGTTGATGCGAATCGGATGAGACAAGTCTGAGTAAGAGTGCGGAGCGGCGCAGCGCGGACCGGGCCGATGGGGGAGGGGGAGGGGAGGGGGGAGGGGGAGGGGTACATTGACACACAGGCACGGCACGCGGACAGTCGCGGAAAAGCGGGGCAAAAAAGGCGAAGTAAAATTTGGAAATCCGGCGGGCGGGCTGTGTGGCGCTGTGCGCACATCTGCCCAGAGAATTAGCGAGCTACACGAACCGATCGCCTCGGGCTGCCTGGGGCGGGGAGGGGGGCGGGGAAGGGGGCGGGGAACGAACGGGCAACGCTCGGGGAGCGCGCTGGCGATGGTGCCGTGTGGGGAGCGACGCGCGGCGCGCAGCCGTGGCGCAGCGTGGCGCAGCCAGCACCGCGCCCGACCCATCACCGCACCTTTTAACCACCCCGCCCCGCCCCGCCCCGCCCCGCCCCGCCCCGCCCCCGCCCCGCCCGGTGCACGCCACCGGGCTACCCGTGCCGCCGCCTGCTGCCTCGGGGCGCCCGGCGGGTAGGCAACCCTCTGGCAGCCGCGCGCGGCGGACGGCCTACCTCGCCGATCACAGGCGCTGGCCGGCCGCGCCAGTCGAGCTGCGACTTCTAACTCCCTGTATTAGGCCAGAAGACCGGTGGAGGCGACCAAATTCTAGAACTGTTTTGAGCTCCAGAGTCGCTGAACGGGACTTGAATCGAGAGTGTGGCCCCACCAATGGATTCCTCGTTCGGAGACCATACGATCGGTTCGAGTCTCTTTTAGCGACTCTGGAGCTCAAAACGCGTCTAGAGTTTAAGCCACGTCTAACCGGTCTTCTAGCCCACTATGCAAGAGGACAAGTCATCAACTGATTTGGTTAGCTAAGGAAAAGTAGCCTTGATATGGCACTCAAGTGACAAACCAATATTTCACCGCCAATACTCCAATTTTATCAGGCAGTGAGTTCGATTCGTGCCCCAGTCGGCGCTCAAATTAACGTGGGTTCTGGTCGTCCTGGCCTACAGTGCGCTCGCCGCGGTCGCGTTCCTAGACAGTGCAGGCACTCTTATCCGCACTAATTAGTATATCGGGATCAGTGGGATGCCGGCTCGGCAGCACCGGCTGCGCGCCAGCTTTGCTGCACCACTTTGTAGCCCGGCCACCTCAAGACGACCCTCTGGCACGCCGCCCCGCCCCGCCCCTCCCCGCACAGTGGGCCAGAAGACCGGCGAAGACGGCCAAAACTCTACACGCGTTTTGAGCTCCAGAGTCGCTAAATGGGCCTCGAACTGGACGTGTGACCCCACCAATGGATTCCTCGTTCGGAGAGCAATCCATTGGTGGGGTCACACGTTCGGTTCGAGTCCCATTTAGCGACTCTGGAGCTCAAAACGCGTCTAGAGTTTTGGCCGCCTCCACCGGTCTTCTGGCCCACTGTGCCCCGCCGCCACGACAGGCTCCTCCTAGGCTGAGCGGCGAAAGCAAGGAGCGCTTAACATCAAAGCGGCCCCCCTTCCCCCCGCCCCTCATATTCCGAGGCGGCCCCCGCCTTGGCCCCCGCCGCGTGCCACGAGAGGTACCCCCTCCAAAGCCTCTTTCCCTCTCGAAACATTTGTATTAGTTATATTGGCCGCGAAATTCGATCGGGTCTTGAAATCCTTGGCCTGGGGCAAGCGGTGCGTGCGGAGCCCCGCGTGGGGCGACGCCAAGGACCAACCGTGTCGGCGGCGGCAGAGAGACAACGGTGACATCCCAACATTACGGAAACTGTCGTAAAATTAAGCTAAATGCGCTCGAAATTTCATCGAAATGGACTTAATTTATCCGCAAACTTTATTTGCCTTCGCTTGCGGCAGTGTCCACCACTTCCCGCGTGGAGAGC